TAAAATTATTCTTTTCCAAAACCCTTTCATCACTACCCACCTTATAATATCTCGATTCAGTAACTCAGTGTTAATTAAGGGGCACGCTGCAAAGGTAGACGATGAGTCATGCTATTCTAAGAAATGAAAATATGAGTAATCTATTTCTTAAAGACTGTATGTGCTTCCCTTTCCCTTTTTCTTAAATATAAAAACAACATTAACTACAAAAAATTGAATTAAGCACGCAGAAGAAATCAGAAGCACCAAAAAGGGAAAAAATAATCATGTCAAATGCAAAAACTAGTTTAGAGGAGCACTACCCCAGCCTTCTCAGTGATGCACCTCTTCACCTTCTCAAATATTTAAAGCTCATTTCAGGGACAATTGTGTCTCTGTCCATCTGGCTGCAGTCCTGCCCTAACACGCCCCAATCTGCAGCAGATCAACCGGAAAAAAAAAATCATTTGGATCTTAGCAGCATTTTCCACTCGGTTAGTAGCAATCAATGAGGTGATGTACAAACTAAAGGTCACGGGGGGTCGGAGAGGAAGGCCGGGCCAGCCTTTGACTCTGTATGAGGAACTGTTGATTTATTGGATATTGCAAGCAAGCTGATCCACCTTCAAGTGCCTTTTGAAGATAAATCAGCTGGACATCAAGACAAAATTTCTCACGTTGATGAATTATTCCTTTACATTCTCTGACGGCCTTCAAAACCTTCCATCGTCCTTTGTTCCTGGTGGCTTGTCATTCAGAGGATGAGACATGTGATCAGCTCTTATGACCTTTCATAAATTAGATTTTTCTGTAATGAATTTGCAACATCTCTATTTAAACTTTGGTCTCTACACACCATAATGATCCACGACAAGCTTTTAGTTTCAGGTTTTAAATGTTAAAGTGAAAAAAGAAAAGCTTTTTTTTTTTTACTTTACTTACAGCCATGAAACTAATGTTAGAGCTACTGAATGCATCATTGGTATTTCAATTGGTTCCCTCTAGGGTTTACTTTCAATTTGCAGTTCTGTCTGCCACTGGGTACAAATTCTCCAGGGGAAAAGGATAACACTTTTTCCCCAGTAGGTACTGGTATTGTTCCCTAGCTGAAATGGTAGATGGGGGAGTAACTATGGAAACTCTACATGCTGCCAAAAGAAGAAAAAAAGTCCAGCATAAAGGGAAGGTGAAGCGAGGGTGTGACAGAAACAAAAAGCAAACAAAGAGTGGAAAGAAGAAAACAAATAAAGAGCTACACACCAGTGTATTCAGATCTGTTCCTATTTTATGATTACCATGTTAACACGTACTGAACATACCCAACCAGACAGTGAGTGATTTCAACCTGATGTTCAGATTTTCTTTTGAGATTTAATGAGATAAAAATTATCTCAAACATTTCATTTCCAAAAGACTCCCAATAGAACCCAGTAAAACACCCTGATTCTTTGAAATGTTAACACGTGCTGTGTTCAGGCCAAAGATTTTATCTTTAGAAATTAACTAAATGCAGCTCCGCAGGTTTATCTTAAGCCTTTATTAATTTGTCTGAACACACTCGTAATTCCCAAAGGAAACACAGCAAAAACCTTTCCAAACTGAGGACATCGCATTTATCTTGTTTTCTGAAATTAACACAGGGCCATTGAGCAAACAAGGTTCACTTGGTATAGAAGCAATAAGATGTTTTAAACTGTGGCCTTATTTCTTATGGTCTCTCTTGGGCTCTGCAGATAGCTGCAGGGTAGAGCGATGAAAGGCTACCGACAGGGAATACAAAGAACAAGGCCATGGAGTGGAGTGGACTTGGAGTACACATCCTGAAACAGAAGGAGATACTGGGTCACTGTAGATAAGATGGATGGGCTGAACAAGGACAGAAATACAAGAGACTGGGATGTGAGAAAAACTTTAAAGAAAAAAAATGGAGGAGAATAAAAGAATGGAATGTAAAACAGAGAAGGGAGGACGGGGGGATAAAGGGAGAGATGATTCAGTAATTGGGCCTCGTTTGCAAGCGTGTTTTACAGATTTATTTTACCTCAATCTGGGTCAAGGTTGCATGGGCAGTATTCTAACTCAAAACTATCCTACTTCAAAAGCACTTTCAATTTTTCTTCTCAACTTCTCATTCCTAAAATCTTTTGATCTCTTCTTGCTTCGTTTCTCTCTGACCTGCACATAGTGAATTAAACATAATCTAACTTTGACTGAGTGCTGTTTATCCCACAGATCATTCAGAGCCGTCACTCTGAGTTTAGGATTTCTGCAACTGACCTCTACCTCTCTCTCTCTGTATAATGTCTACATGGTCTAATTTCCTCAATAGACTGTTTTAATGATGTTTTAACAACAAAAGAAATGAAATAACTAACATTTTCAAAGCACAGACAAGTTTTTATCACCAGAGAGACATATTGATAACACTTGTCTGATATGTATCAGTGGATATGGAAGTTTAGATTTATAGTTTTATAGATCTTCTGGGTCTTTACATAACTCAGGATGGGATTAAAAGCTACCATAAACCCCATTGTCTGTTGGATTACATTACGCTTGCCACTGATGGTTCTGCTGATCTTTTATGATATATCAATACAATAGCATAGGGATTCCCAGATGTTGCATATCTGCAACAGTAGGAAGGGGAGGAAACAGATATATTGAAATGATCTTGAAATCTTTTATAAAAAGACTATAAAGAATAACTTGCATTCTTGTACTCAGTTTATTTTAAGGATTCACAACCTCACAGATGGCTGCAATGATCAGTGTCTCTAGCTGATCCCACTGGAGGAGTTGAACAAATACCACTCTAATTCACATTACAGTAAACAAATACTATAGTCACACTAGGGAAAACAGTAGTTGCCAGAACCAGAACCACTTGCAGTCAGTTTCTGTCTTCAAGTCCCTTCAAGTGGAGTCCCTTACTGGAAAGAGAAGTGTTGCAGTCAGGTTGCCCTCATCATCTGAGAATAACTACAGTCAGCCCAAGTCAGACTTGTTACAATACAAAAAAACAAGGACATACACCTATCAGCCGAAACCACGATAAATGTCAACTTGCGTCTGTGTGTCAGTGAAACAACACAACTGGCTGATAGGTTTTTCAGTTCAGATGGTGGTTGGATATTTGGGGCCAGAGTTCAGTCCACTACCATCGCTGTGCTTACCGAATTTGCTGTAACCCAAAGATTTTCTGTTCAGGGTTCACTGAGTACCATGGCCCTGTCCCTATATCTCTTGTACAATCATGGAATACAAAGAAACCTAACACCTTTTACAAAGTCTGGCCCTGTAAGGTGTTCTTCCTTTGGCTCATTCTTCTGTTAAGGTAAGAACCAAGGTGTCTGTTAGCAAGTATACAAAAACTAAAAGACAAAGTTTATGAAATCTGGTGGCGAGGAATTGGATAGGGAAAGGAAGAACCCATCGAATTTTCTAGCAAATCTGGATCATTTGAAAAATAACTTGATTAAAATTGTTCTTCTCATCTGTCAATTTCATAGACAAGAAAAAAAAATTAGCTTAAAAATAGCAGTTTAATAGCCTACATTCTCTGTTGCTCTGTATATTTGTTACTGTAATTTGTTTCCAGAGTTATTTGAGTATGTGTCTGTGGACGCTGCCACAGCGCATTAGCCTGCGTGTGATGTGTGTGTGTGTGTGTGTGTGTGTGTGTGTGTGTGTGTGTGTGTGTGTGTGTGTGTGTGTGTGTGTGTGTGTGTAGGAATATGGGGTTGTGCTTGTGTGGTTCTAAGCTATCATATCTCAGTCATGCAGGTAAACTCATCATCAACAGCAATCTGCTCAGGCCTCTGGGGATCACGTATGTGTGCAGAGCCACATACATGTGCACAGACATGAACACACACACTCACTCACTTACTCACTCACTCTCCCTGGGGTATTTCTCACTTCAGGGAAGAGGACAAGGCGGGCAGAGTCCATTCACCCATACAGACAGAGAGAAAATTAATTTGTTACAGCGCGCTTATCGTCATGACAACCTGCCTTTTAATTAACGGGCTGACAAACAGCCTGGATGTCATGTCTCTCTTTGGGGAACGACTGATAGAAAGAAAATAGTGCTCTCCTCATCATGTGTGACTGACAGAAGGACTGTAGCAAAAACTAGTTGCAGACCTCTAATTGTTTTTATACAGAGATACTCATATTATCATATTAAAGACCCCAAAATGTTATGTGCTTATTGGTTGGAATTTATTTTAATTGCTTTATAGTTCTAATTTTGGCATTGTGCACATTTTATTTTATATATATAAATAAAACTGTGTTCTTAGCACATTTCTTTTCTTGGACTCTGCTTGAGTAGCTTTGCATGACTGAGAGTCCAAAATAATCCCTACTTATTTTAACCCTCTAATCGCTCGGTTCATCCATCATCTGAAATGCAGCATTTTAGCTCCTCACCTTAAACAAAGGTTTGAACAGCAGGTTCAACCCACAGGTGAGACACCTGTGATTTTTATATGACCTTATTAATAAAGTCAAATTAAAGCAATTTTTTAAAGCAAACCAGTAATGACTGTTACTTGGAAATTAGATGAGTGAAAAAAAAATCGGTTTTTAGATTCTTAAAATCAGTTTATATCTCTGCAAATGGAAAAAATGTTAAAATAGCAGTATGAGGGGGGTTTTTTTATATGGAGGAGGTTTTGGTGGAGCACAAAGAGGGTTTCAGCCAGAGGAAAGGAAACATCACCAGCACTGCCATGTAACTAGCCTGTAACCCCAACCTCTTTGGGTTTGTCTTTTCCAATGCAGTTTAGTTTCAAGGATGAAGCCCTGGATGCAAAAAAATCAAACAGTTTCTGTCTGACAAGTTTGCTCTGTCATGTAAGACTAAAGCATTTCAGCTCAGTGTGTGTGAGTGGAACAGAGAGGGGTAGACCATGGCGCCCCTTAAAGCATCAGGCCATCAAAACAGACCTGCTGCCTGAAAGTGGACTGCTGGGAGACAAAGAGCAAGTGTGTGTGCTGTCTGTTTGTTTTACCTCTTGAGGTTAAGCAGAGCCCAGGGGATGCCGGTGGGCGTTTTGAATGCAGGCAGCAGCTTCTCGCCCAACTCCACTGCCTTTCTGCGAAACACCTGAGAAAGAAACAGAACAAAAACAAGCAAGTCATTACAAGATGGTTCGAGCAGCTGATGTATGCCTCTACATTTCCTTGAATTTTCAGCAGAAAATATAATTCAACATTTGCAAATCTCCATCTCTGCTCAAAATCCAAGGCTTACACCTGTAGCTCAGTGCTTCCCCCATCCTTCCACTCTTTATCCCTTTATTCCAGGCTTTTCCTCTTTCCTGTCTGCTTCCTTTTATCCCTGTAATGTTTTTGCCAGTATCTTTCCTTGCCTGCTTTACTGTTGCTTGGAGCTATACTGATGTTTTCCATGTGTAATGTGAGGAAACTTTAGCCCATTTAGTTGTTTAAAACGTCGCTGACTCAACATAGATATCTTAAAAACAGTTTCTCACTACAAAAAAACTGATTTATGGCTCTCCAGCTTACGTCTAATTCACTATTTTGCCATTATATAGCCAGCAATGTTTCATTTCCCCTCTATTTAATGTGTTCCTGTTGCTTTCACCAAACTGATTGCCCAAAGAAAGTAATATTTGCAACTCTATCACAATCTGTGAGGCTAAAAGGAGAAAACCGCTTAACTTTAGCTCAAATGTGAAAGCAAAACACATCTTAAAAAAACAAAACAAAAAAACAACCAAAAAACCAGCAGTGAGTCAGCCTTCCATCCAGAGAAAGCCAGACTCGCGGATCTTTGATCTCCTCTCATCCCTTCGGTATCTTTCAGGGTGAGACATCACAGCCTGTGCTGGTAAACACAAGCCTGTGGTGTGTATTTAAGTGTACTAACATCAATTTACACAGTTACGGACTGCTAGAGTTGAATTTTCAATGCATGTAACCTTCAGATCCATTTGGACCCACCACAGAGGCCCAGTGTGGCTTTAAATAGTGTCATGAATATTCAACCTGAAAACAAGAGCAAATACACCTGGAGCTCAGACCTGCAGGAAACTGGGAAATGTCATGATCCTGGGTCCGTTGACCCAGCGTTTTGTGTTTAGTTATGTAGCCTTCAGGTTTCCTAAGTTTATCGTTATCATGCCTAGTTGTTTCCAGTTAATTTTCCCCTCGTGTTTCCACTATGTTAAGTCTCCCCTGCTTTTCATGTATTTCATGTCTGTGGCTTATGTTGTCAGTTCAGGTTGTCGTGTCTATATCTCACTGTGTTTCCTGTTTTATTGTGAAGAGGTCTGGTGTTTCTGGGTTCATCGTGTTCAGTTTTACTCTCCCATTGTTACGTCGTTATGTTCATGTGTGTCAGCTGTTTTCTCCATGTGTTGCCACTTTCCTCATTATCCTCCTGTGTCTATTTAGTCCGTGTGCTTTCAGTCATTCGTTGTCAGGTCGTCTGCTCATCCATGTCTCATCCCCAGGTACCCATGTCAGTTCACTATGGTTAAAGTTTTTCATGTTTTGTTATTAGTTCACCCAGTTTAGGTTTTTGTTTAGTTGTCTACTATGCCCTTTTATTTTGTACCCTTATTGTTAGTCTCAATAAACGGCTTGTTTTGTTAACCCATACCACGTTTTGGTCTGCGTTTGAGTCCTCCTCTGCAACACATACGGTCTGCCCCACCCAGACCGTGACAGGAAATGATGCCCTATAAAAGTGGATTTGTGCACTTTTAACTCTTTCAATTTCCACAGGAATGAATAATGCTCATTCTTCTTAGATTAATATGGTAACATCTGGTGTTTTTCCTGGATGTCTACCACTCCTTGGTTGTTTGCAGTACTGTGTAACAGCCTAAAAGCGTGACGTAAGACTTGATTTGTTTGTTAACCTGTATAAAACTTGTGCCAATCACGTTCTTGGTTCCACTTTTTTTCCCTTTTTTTTTTTAAGCACAGTTCAGGTGTTTTCTGCTGCAACACAACAGCAAATTTCCTCCTTGACTGGTGATCTCTTATCAAGTGCATTTAAATTCCCAATCTAATCTTTTGTGTTAGCAAATCTGACAAGACAGCTTTGTAGCAGTTCTAGCCGAGGGCTTTGGTTGTCTCCAAGGTGTCTGATTTTGTTGGCTGTAAAAGTGAAGTGTACTTCCATATTTGGCTTCTGGTGTGAGTGTACTAAAGCAGTAAAGACGAAATGGGATTTGGCCTAAGACGTAGTGGACAGTTTGACACTGCTGCCAGGGTTTCAGCGGCTTGACTCAAACTGGTGCTGCTGCCCACTGACACGAATGAGAATGGCTTCATGTCTGTTAATGCAGCCCACATGGATTTGGACTTTTTTCTTATAACTTGACTCTAGGTGTAGAATTAAGTGGCACCTGTCCCACAGATTCAAGTCAATCAGATCCTGCCACACCTCTCATGAACAGCACCTCTGAATCCTCTTGTTTTTGTGCTGGTAGGAGAGTTTTTATTGAGACCACAAAATGTTAAAAATCAGAAAGCTTCCAAGGGTTATTGCTAAAAATATATATAAAAAAAAATATAAAAAAAAAAAAAAAAAAAAAATATATATATATATATATATATATCTCTCTATATATATATATATCTCTATATATATATATCTCTATATATATATATCTCTATCTTTTGAACATTCATGACCAGTGCAAGACAGAAAATGTGAAATCTGGGATAGATCATCGGAATTTCATAGGACTTGACTTGCTTGGTTTCCCCACAGTAACTTGGGATTTGAAGGTTAAGACTTTAGACTTGTTTGTGACTCGCACATGTGAGACTTATTCCCACTTCTGGGAGCTGCCTTAGTTCATAAGGGGAGAAAAAAAACAACAACACCAGAGATGTTTCTTGTTGAAATGTGTGACTGAACTGCATAGCGCTATTTCTTTCAACCAGAGGCTGCTAAGTAGCTCGCAGTCTTGCAACAAGGTAGAAAATATATGTAAAGTTTTGCCATTCAAAGCCAGTTCAAGCTTATTTGAATTTAATAGCACATGCAGATTTTCATGTTCACAGTATTAAGATGGAGTTGCTGTCTCCATGTTGATGTTTTTGAAACCAGATGTCACCAGCAGTGTACAGTGTATAGCCACAAATACCTAAAGGAAATTAATTCGCCAGCTTTCCTCCAATATTTTGTGACTGACGCTGTGAAATAATTGGCTGATGATGATGATCACCCCAAATTGGTATTTAATCACCACGAATAAAGGACCGACTAACTATCCAACTACTGCTAATGAGCTCTGTTGTTATTATTCATGCATTATTCTACTATATGTGGAAATGTGTCTTTTTACACACACATTGAGTCAGAGACAGTGCAGTATCACACTGCGTCATGAGCTGGCAGCTCTGTACTCGAGGGATCAGCCACTCAGCGGGGTCTGAGAGACGGGGGCAGGAGGGAGAAAAAGATTTGCGAAGAAGAAAAGCTCAAGAGGCCACTCGTCAAAACAATGTGGCAACTCTATGACTTTCTCCTCAAAATTCAGAGGCAGGAAAGGTTACTGAGAGTTAAAGTAGCGAGAGAGGTAACAGAAATGTGGCCAAAATTAACTGCTGGCATTCTGGGAATAAATGTCAGATATCCTCGTGTGAGACGGAGCAACGTGTCGATGTGTTTGACACCGTCAAGATGAGCCATGTTTCTCCTATTACATTTTTGTCCGCCTGACATGCAGACAGAGACTGATGATAGGCTACACCTGAGTATTTCCAATATATCAGACTTTATGAGGTCTACCAAATATTGACACACATTTCTTTATATTTCATATATTTTTAATTTGACTAAATTGAAGGAACTGAGTCTTTAGCCAGAGCTAAAAGAAATGTAACATGTTTTGCTAAGTGAAGATTAAATTAATTCTTTTTATTTATACATTACCAGAAAAAACACAAAAGTTAATAGATTTTTTTAATAAAAAGTAACAGAGATTCATAAAAAGATGAAAAAAGTGATGAGAAAAGCCAGGAGATATTTCTTACCAGGCTGAACAAACATGTTTACTCTTTATTACACGTGCACACCTAAATCTGAGTTATTACCTAACAGTGCATGCTAAATTCAGTAGACTTTGGGTCTCGAGTTTCGAATGGGTTAGTTTCAAATCACCAGTGTTTTACATTCCTACAGTGGAGGAAATGCAGAGTAGTAGCTCGGTAAAAATACCGAGGACAAAATGCTTGTATGAGATGAGGAAAACTGGCTTTTTAACACTTCAAGAACCTCTTGGGGCGTATCAACTTGAAAATCTACAGTTACCAACTCAATATCATAACAAAACGTATAATAGATGTAACGTGTAATCTGCAAAACATGAAATGGACACGCATGCAGAGGTTGCATTACCAGCAGGGGGAGATAAAATACTTAAAGCCACAAAGTTGGCAATGAGCAAAAAACATACAGAGTACATTCGTTCCAGGTTACTTAATGGATAGAAACCATTAAGCTAGGCGGCGAATGTGTATTTAAGTGTAAATGCGTTAATATCTGTTTAAACACTTTCCTGAAATTATTTCATGCTGGCTTAAAATGAAATATCTAAAATATCTCCCTCTACTGGAAGAAAAAAATATGGATAATTTTAATTCCTTTTTTGCTCCTGTGACTTCTTCTCACGGATCGGAAAATCAGTTAAGAAAGTGGATGGATGGAGTTTGGATGGTGGAGGACTTAAAAATGATTTCAAGAACATGCACCTTGCCGAGAGGGATATTAACAAGAATTTGAGAAACAGCAAAGCAGCCAGATCTGAAAGTTGATGTTTTCTGTTAAAAAATTCCCTTAAAGATTACGGATTCTTGTGCAGGATTCACGGCATGAGCAAAAAATAATTTAACAGATGAAAACATTGATATATCTGCTCATACGGGTTCCTTCTGTATTCCAAGGAGACTTTCACAATGCAGTACTTTCAAGCCAAGATGTTTGATGGCACTGTGGACACCGAAATGCGTGTGTGTTTAGCTGGCTGCGCAGTGGGAGCAGAGCCGTGTCGTAACAAGGCATCAGATCGCAGTGATTAATGCCTTTAATAATGCTAGAAGCACACTGAGGGGAAGAATAAA